TATTGTTAAAATGTCCATGCTACCCAAAGTAATTTATAGATTCAATGCAATCCCTAACAAAAACTTCAATGGCATTTTTTTACAGAAATAGAAAAAAAATCAAAAATTTCTTATGGAACTGTGAAGGACCCTGAATAGCTGAAATCAATCTTGAGAAGGAAGAACGAAGATGGAGACATTACTCTTCCTGATTTCAAAATATATTACAAAGCTACAGTAACTAAACCAATATGGTACTAGCATATAAAGACAGACATATAGACCAATGAAACAGAATAGAGAGCGTAGAAATAAACCAATGCATGGATGATCAATTAACCTTCAACATAGGTAATAAGAATACATAATAGGGAAAGGATAATCTCTTCAACAAATGGTGCTGAGATAACTGGATATCCACAGACAAAAGAATGAAATTGGACCCTTATACCATAAACATCAATTAAAAATAGATTAAAGATGTAAATTTAAGACCTGAAACTGAAAATGCCTAGAATAAAACATGGGGGAAAGCTTCATGTCATTATCTTGGCAAGATTTCTCTGACATGACACCAAAAACACGGGTAACAAAAGCAAAATAGACGTGTTGGACTATATCAGTCTGAAGAGCTTCTGCACAGCAAAGAATACAACTCAATGAAAAGGCAACCTATGGAATGGGAGAATATATTTTGTAAACTATACAACTGATAAGGGGTTAATTTTTGTTTTTGTTTTTTTCCTTTACTAACTCCAGGGTACACGTGCAGAATGTGCAGGTTTGTTACATAGGTAAATGTGTGCCGTGGTGATTTGCTGCACAAATAAACTCATCACCTGGGTATTAAGTCCAGCATCCATTTGCTATTCTTCCTGAGGCTCTCCCTCCCCACCTGCTTGACAGGCTCCAGTATGTGGTGTTCCCCCCACCATATGTCCATGTGTTCTCATCATTCAGCTCCCACTTATAAGTGAGAACATGTGGTGTTTGGTTTTCTGTTCCTGTGTTAGTTTGCTGAGGATAACAGCTTCCAGCTCCATCCATGTCCCTGCAAATGACATGATCTCATTCCTTTTTATGGCTGTGTAGTATTCCATGGTGTGTGTGTATATCACGTTTTCTTTATCCAGTCTGTCACTGATGGGCATTTTGGTTGATTCCATGTCTTTGCTATGATGAATAGTGCTGCAATGAACATATGCATGCATGTATATTTATAATAGAATGATTTATATTCCTTGATATATATGGAATTTGTGTTAATTCCCCAAAGATCTAGACAGAGGCAGAAATACCATTTGACCCAGTAATGAGATTGCTGGGTCAAATGGTATTTCTGCCTCTGTCTAGATCTTTGGGGAATTATCACACTGTCTTCCACAATGGACGAATTAATTCATACTCCCACCAATAGTGTAAAAGCATTTCTTTTTCTCTGCAACCTGTCTGTTGTTTCGGGGGTGTTTTAATAATTGCCATTCTGACTGGCATGAGGTGGTATCTTATTGTGGTTTTGATTTGCACTTCTCTAATGATCAGTGATGCTGAGCTTTTTTTCCTGTTTGTTGGCCACATGAATGTCCTCTTTTGATAGGTGTCTGTTCATGTCCTTTGCCCATTTTTATTTATTTATTTATTTATTTATTTATTTGAGACAGAGTCTCACTGTGTTGCTCAGGCTAGAGTGCAGTGCTGTGATCTCAATCTCGGCTCACTGCAACCTCCGCTTCCCAGGCTTAAGTGATTCTTCTGCCTCAGCCCCCCGAGTAGCTGGGACTACAGGCTTGTGCCACCATACCTGGCTAATTTTTGTATTTTTAGTACAGACAGACTTCCACCATGTTGGCCAGGCTGGTCTTGAACTTCTGACCTCAAGTAATCTGCCCACCTCAGCCTCCTCAAATGCTGAAATTACAGGTGTGAGCCACCGTGCCCAACTTGCCCACTCTTTAATGGGGTTGTTTTCTTCTTGTAAATGTGTTGAAGTTCCTCGCAGATTCTGAATATTAGACCTTTGTCCAATGGATAGATTGAAAAAATGTTCTCCCATTCTCTAGGTTGTCTGTTCACTCTGATGATAGTTTCTTTTGCTGTGCAGAAACTCTTTAGTTTAATTAGATCCTGTTTTTTAATTTTGCTTTTGTTGCAATTGCTTCTGATGTTTTTGTCATGAAATCTTTGCCCGTGCCTATGTCCTGAATTGTATTGCCTGGATTTTCTTCCAGGGTTTTTATAGTTTTGGGGTTTACACTTAAGTCTTTAATCTTTCTTGAGTTAATTTTTGTATAAGGTCTGAGGAAGGGACCCAGTTCAGTTTTCGGCATGTGGCTAGCCAGTTCTCCCAGCACCATTTCTTAAATAGGGATTCCTTTTCTCATTGCTTGTTTTTGTCACGTTTGTCAAAGATCAGATGGTTGTAGGTGTACAGCCTTATTTCTGAGTTCTCTGTTCTGTTCCATAGGTCTATGTATCTGTTTTTATACCAGTACCATGCTATTTGGTTATTGTAGCCTTATAGTATAAAGTCAGGTAGCGTGATGCCTTCAGCTGTGTTATTTTTTCTTAGGATTGTCTTGACAATTCAGGTTCCCATGGATTTTTAAATAGTTTATTCCAATTCTGTGAAGAATGCCAGTGGTAGGTTAATGGCAATAGCATTGAATCTATAAATTACTTTGGACAGTATGGCTATCTTCATGATATTGATTCTTCTGTCCATAAGCATGGAATGTTTTCCCATTTGTTTGTGTCCTCTCTGAATTCTCTTGAGGAGAGGTTTGTAGTCCTCCTTGAAGAGATCTTTCACTTAAGGGGTTACTATTTAGAAAATGTAAGGAACCCCTACAACTCAAAAACAAAAAAACCACAAATAACTAGTTTTAAAAATAGGCAAAAGACTGATATTTCTCAAAAGAAGACAATAAATGGCCAACAGGTGTACAAAACAGATGCTCAACATCACTAACCATCAGGAAAATGCAAGTTGCGACTATAATTAGATATTGTCTCATGCCTGTTATTAGGATGGGATGGCTGTTATTTTTAAAAGATGAGTGTTGGAGAAGATGTAGAGATATTGGAGCCTTAGTGCACAGTTGGGGGAATGTAAAGTGATGCAGCAACTATAGAAAATGTTACCGAGTTTTCTCAAAATATTAAAAATTAAACTACCATCTGATCTAGTTATCCCACTTGTGGGTATTTATCCAACAGAATTAAAGTCAGGATCTAGAGAAGCTATTTGCATTCCTGTATTCATTGCAGCATTATTCTCAATGGCCAAGATTTGGAAACAACCTCAGTGTACCTAGATGATTAAAGAAAAATTGGTATATAAATATAAGGGAATGTTATTCAGCCTAAAAAGAAGGAGATTCTACCACATATGACAACATGGATAAACCTGGAGGACGCTATCCCAAGTAAAATAAGCGAGTCACAAAAGAGCAAATACTGCATGATCCCACTTATCTGAGGCATCTCAAACAGACTCATAGAATTGGTTGCCAGAGGCTAGGGGGAGGGGGAAATGAGGAGCTGCTACTCAATAGGTATAAAGTTTCAGTTATGCAAGACGAAGATGTTCTAGAGATCATCTGTACAACATTCTGTCTACGGTTAATAATACTGTATTGTACACTTAAAAATTTAAGTGGGTAAATCTCCTGTTAAATGTTCCCACCACCATAAAAAAAAAAGAAAGAAAGACAACTATAAGCTATTGAAGGATGCTCAGTGGTATGTGTGGTGATGTAGGCAGTTCTTATTTTTGCTTAGGAGTTTGTTTGCTTGTTTACCGGTATGGTAAGCATTCTGTGACAGCATTCTTGCCTCCCATGTGGTCCTTCTTGGAAACAGGGCTGGATTTGTGCCAGTGTGCAGTGGGATTCTGACTAAATGTTAATGTTTGAGAGGCATGCACAAGGCCTGGAGCTGACAGTGTCTTCCTTGTTGTCTTGCAACTCCTAACATGTATCACCACTTTGAGTTAGGGTCGGTATTCAAGTCCAGTTGTTTCCAGGTAATCACTGATGTGCTGACATGTAGCACATGTTAAATAATCTAACAGAGAGTAAGTGCATTTTTATATGTTTTGGAGATTAGAATCGGATCCAAATGAGGTGTAAGGTAATGACGCTGTGAGATCTGTGGTGGGGAAGCGTGGTGGGGAGAAGAGCTTCAGCAAAAAGAGGACTAACGAAGTATCAACCGCCAGTTTGCATCTGTGCCTGGGGGGCAGTACTTCCTGTGCTCGTGGCACATGTGTATACTACGATTGACAGGCCTTAAGGAGAAAGGCTAAGGTCATGAAACAAAGCTCTTTTCTTTTCTTTTCTTTTCTTTTCTTTTCTTTTCTTTTCTTTTCTTTTTTCTTTTCTTTTCTTTTCTCTCTCTCTCTCTTTCTCTCTTTCTTTTTTTATTATACTTTAAGTTCTGGAATACATGTGCAGAATGTGCAGGTTTCTTACATAGGTATACACATGGCATGGTGGTTTGCTGCACCCGTCAACCCATCATCTACATTAGGTGTTTCTCCTAATGCTATTCCTTCCCTAGCCCCCCCACCCCCTGACAGGCCCCAGTGTGTGATGTTCCCCTCCCTGTGTCCATGTGTTCTCATTGTTCAACTCCCACTTATGAGTGAGAACATGCGGTGTTTTGTTTTCTCTTCCTGTGTTAGTTTGCTGAGGATGATGGTTTCCAGCTTCATCCATCTGTCTTTCCTTTTCTTTTCCCTCCCCACACCTTTTCCACACTCCTTTCTTTCTCTGTAAAGGCTAGCTGTGATATGTACATATTGCACCTGTCACCCTGACCTCATTGTAGAACCATCTTCTGAACAACTGGCAACTGATGCTAAGTGCTATGAATGCAGCTTGTGGGAACGGAGCACACCGGTATAAAAGGTGAAACTAGACGTCCTTATCTGTAAAGTGAGGGTGGCAGGCTAAGCAACTAATATGCTTTGCTTAAGATTTTATATTTGTGAAGCATTTATATGTAAATGCTTTCACTTTTTCCTCTGATCTCTGAGGAAGTGGTATTAAGTTTAAATTTGTCACAATTTCACAGCGTGACTCTTGGTTGAAATGTCACTGACAACTTGCGGTTTGGACTTTTTTTTTTTTTTTTTTTTTTTTAACTCTAGTCAGAAACAACTAGAAGCCATTAAACAACTGCAAGAAGATGCTGTCAACCAGGAAGGCATCCTTAGAAAGAGGCTTCAAGAAGCCAGCCAATGGCTGGAGGATGCAGAGGAGCAGGTAGGGTGGCTCATGGCTACATTAGATTCAGGGGATGTCTCCTCAGATGTCCTGAAAACCATGAAATGAAAATGCAGGAGGAACAACAGCAACAAACAACAACAAAAAAAAAAGCAAAGAGGAACTGCAAGTTCAGTCCCTAGCGACTAGCAGTGAGCAGAGGAAGTAAAGGGGGAGTTGTAAGAGAGGCGGTGTCAACAGCCTGCTGATGAAAGAGGCGACTCTGCAGAAAGGGGCGACTCTGCAGAAAGAGACAACTTGACATATCAGGACTTTAACCGCTGTAGAAATAGCTCAGGCATACCAACCCCATGCAAACACAGAATTGCAGAAGTTCAGGAGAGGCTTATCACTTCCCTGAGAAGAAAAACACATTTTCAGTTTTGCCTGCATCATAAGAATGAGCACTCAATTGCTTTCTTTCCTGGCCACACTGCTAGAATCCAGTATTAACTATCCATATCCAGGTTAAGGATCGAGATCGAGAAGTCCACTGTGCCAGTGAAAAAGCTACGTCTTTACGGCATAAATTAGAGGAAGCAATTTGGGAACCACGGAACCTTCAAACTATAAATACTGAGTTATCGAACCCTTGCCAGGCACTTCAGCAGAAGACAAGGAAACTGAAAAGTGAGTAGCAAATATTCATTTATGCCCCAGTTTTTGTCCACCCTGAGGCGGGGCATAGGACTACAGACATTTTTCTAGATTGCAGCTAGGATATTATTCATGAATTTATGGCAATGAAATGGTTTGAGAAGGCAGTATTGTGGGGCTTTAAGAGAGGTTTGCTGAGTAGCTAGGTACATGCATGGGTTTAACCATTAACTTCCCTTTTTGCTTTATTATGAGCTGGTTTTGTCTATGGCTGTTTTTTCTTTTAAAATTAAACTTCTCAATATTTCTAAAAGTAAACAAGGAGAAAAATCAAGTATGCATGTTATATTTGAACTTTCAAGTTGTTATACAGTATATTCTGATTTTATTAGCTAATTTTTTCCTCTCATATGGTAGAAAGGCCTTGCCCCTCTATTTTCTTTGATAATTTTAGGGGACTAGGCAAAATAATTATGAATTCAATGTATATCAAAGTACTGAACATGTGTGAACATTATTTTAAAATTTTAATGCATTCTCTACATATTTTGCATTTTAAAAATTGGAATATTTGTCATTTTTCTGTATTACTCAAAAGTGTATAAGCATTTACCAGGGATTTATGTGAGAAGACAATTGTCACATTACAGATGTCAGATTAGCTATAAAATTGTTTCCTTCTAGAAACATAGTATGGTAAAAATAAACCTTCCTTATTTTAGCCATTTATCAGACAATTGCTTTTGTTTGGCCAGTTTCTTGTTGCAGCAGGATAAATGTTCTTTTTATAGAAAGTTATTTGGTTTGAGTAATAACAACTAAATATAAGCTTAAGGTAGGCTAGAGATTAAAAATTTCAGACTTGTATTTGTTTTGGATTTATTATACGCTTTCTATTATCTGAGAAAGCTATTTAGGAATTTAAGAAATAGTCTAGTTTTAAAATAGCAATGGTTTGCCAGGCATGATGGCTCACCCCTATAATCCCAGCATTTTGAGAGGCCGAAGTGGGCAGATTGCTTGAGCTCAGGAGTTTGAGACTAGCCTGGTCAACATGGCGAAACCCCATCTCTACAAAAAGTACAAATAAATAAAAGAATAGCAATGGTTATTTAACATATTGTGGTTATAATTTTTAAACCTTTATGAATTTGCCAGTTTTTATAATTCTAAATATTTATTTTGATTCACTCTTTATGCTAGTAAGGCAGCCTTTAAATCACATAGTCTGTGTGTAATTTTACTGTTGCTCAGAGGGCACTGGAGGGTGTTGCCTGGTGATTAGAATATACATGTCAAGACACGAATCACAAGGCATTCCAAAGTTGTTTTAAGGTGTGTCTGCTTTAGACACTGTGCTCAGGACTATTCTTTTGCTCCAGTTTTGCCTTTTGATTAAATCAATGTTATACCTAAGTTTTATAAATTGCTAGGAATTTGTTCCCCTTCCTCACTCTGATTTTCTTGCAGTATTTTCTTAGAAGAGTCAACTTTTATAACTTATCCCAAAGTGTACATTCTTGAAATTATGAACTTGCTATTGTTGTCTTCCCAGTTTATCTTAGGGCATAATAGGTCCAAATGTACTTAAAAGCAGAATTATGAAAGCTGCCCTGAGTTGATACATGTATTTTTTTTCTGCCCGGATAAAGTAGAGTGGACACTTCCTTTCTGTCTTGAGTTATTCATAACCTGTCCAGATTCATGAGATCCTTTAATTTGTTACTTGTATCTTTTGCCGTAAAAAGAACCCATACAAATCAGGATTTTGCCCGTATGACCATTTACTTATGGTCTTTCTAACAGTGCCCTTTAAATTCAGCCTTTGAGAGAAGAGGGAAATTTAGAGAGCACGTATTTTCAAAATGTTCTGTATAGCAGATGTTCCAAACAGACAGTGAACAAATGTCAATGAGGTAGCAGTTATCACACAAACACATCCACGCACATCCCACCATGACCACTGCCACCCCATGCTGTTTGAGTTCTGAGTCAGACGTCTGAATTCTGAGTCAGAAAACAAAACATATTTAAATCTATTTAGTTTTTCTGAAACTCTCTGGCTAGTTTAATAAATTCACAAAGTATTTCAGACAGTTGTCTTCTGATCCATCTAAGTTGCATCAGCACATTGTGTGGGGAGGCAGTTGGTTTGTCCAGATGTTCAGATCAATGTGCATAATGTTCACAGACCAGAGCTGGAAATTTATACATGACATTTGATCGGAAATCCTGAACTTTATCTTGAATAAATAATATTGTTCAAGTTCCAATTGCCATCAGGACTGGGCTGGTTTTTGAGGCAATTCATGTGCATGATATCCTTCAAGAAATGTGCCATGAAAACTATTCAATTGCTTGAAAGGTTACTTATATATTTTCTTTCTTCTGCTTCTAAACTTTGTTTATATGTAAGTATGTTGTTAATATATGCATGACTGGATTATAATTGGTATTTTATTTAAAAAGAGCATTTTAAAGCTTATAGGATGAATATATAACATATTAGGGTGAATCTTATGTACAGAAATCATGGACTAATTGATATAATCCAAAATTATCACCCCCTTACTATTCACCGTCTCCTGTTCCCATCTGACATGAAATCATGGAGTCAGTCTTCTAATAGACAGTGAGAGAACTACCTTTAAGAACCATAAATTTTTCCATGAAAAGAGATCCCAGGGAGCTCCTATATAGCATAATTTCTTATTTGAACATAGTATCTGCACTGTAACTTCATAGTTTAGAGAAGACTTTCACCTAGATGCGATCATTTCAAACACTCTTCTAGCTTACTATTCTTAGCATGGAGGGCACGAGGTTTGGGAGAGGTAAAAGCTTTAGGGCTTGGAGCATGGATGCAAGATGAAATCCTTCTGTCCTAAGCAGTCAGTAAACAGGAGGGAAGTGATCCAAAGAAGGTGGGGGCATGGATCCAGGTGATTGAGATACTTAAAGATAGAAGGTTTTGGGGTGACAGCCAAGGAGAAAACCAAAGCCAAATATAGCTTGCTCAACAACTCTGATGGAGTGGGGACCCAAGTTTTCCCAGATGAAAAATGGAGATATGGAGAAGTTATCTGGGAAGTATAGGATAATGATTAAGAACATGGGATTTGACATTAACAAACCTGTGTTCTCACGCAAAGTCTGCAAGAGTGGCTGGGTAAAGTTGAGCAAATCACATTGCCTCTCTGAGCTTCTGTATCCTCTTCTGTTAAATGCAATTGTTGTGAATTATTAAATAACATAATAAATGAAAAATAGTAGCTAATGTTTGGCCATAGTTGATGTTTGTGTTCTGCTAGAACACGTTTCTATAACGTGAATCATCTCATTTGTGATTTGTAAATGGGAAATGTTGCAGTTATATAGTATAGAAGTTATAGTTTATTCACGATTCTTGGGACTTGGATCTGGATTGGTAGGAATGGAACTCTCACCTCCCTCAGGAAAGAACCCTTAGCTTGGCTGATGAACAGGCAACAGGAACCATTTCAGCTTTATTTTGAGAAAGTTAAAAATAAGTGTCTGCACCCGGGCCTCCCTCCCCAGAGCCACTCAACCCCAGCCTTATAGAGCCCTGGTCTGTGTCAGATCATACTCCCTCCTGTGTTCACCTTGTTAGCCTCACTGTCTCCATCTATCGCTGTCTCCATCTGCATTTGTCTTTCATCCACCATCACTTTTTCATTAAAGCATCACCAGCATTTCCACTCTCTTACTTTTGTGTATTTCTGATATCCTGTGAGGCATGTGATCTTCTTAGTACTAATAATTTAATAATTGTGTTTGTTAGTACTCTGGTTACAATGTTGCACATACAGACAGGTAGGTAGGTAGGTAGGTAGGTAGATTTTTTTTTTCTTTTTTTTTTTTTTTTGAGACGGGATCTAACTCTGTCACCCACGCTGGATTATAGTGGTGGGATCATCATTCACTGTAGCCTCAACCTCCTGGGCACAAGCAATCCTCCTACCTCAGACTCCTGAGTAGCTAGGACTATAGGCGAGCACCACCAGGTCCAGCTAATTTTTTTGTATTTTAGTAGCGACGGGGTTTCACCACGTTGCCCAGGCTGGTTTCAAACTCCTGAGCTTAGGCAATCCGCCCACCTCGGCCTCCCAAGGTACTAGGATTACAGGTGTAAGCAACTGCGCCTGGCCTGCCTGGCTAATTTTTAAATTTTTTGTAGAGATAGGATCTCATTATGTTTCTTAGACTGGTCTCAAATTCTTGGGCTCAAGGAATCCTCCCTCTTCAGCCTCCTCAAGTTTTGGGATTACAGGTGTGAGCCACTCTGCCCAGCTGCATGCATTTTTTTAGTGATTTCTTCCTAACCCTATTTCTCTCATAATCCCTGCATTGTTTTTGTGCTTATAATTTTAACTTTTTTTATTAATGTATTTAGCATGACATAAAATGTTCAGCTCTCAAGTGTACTATTCAACCAGGTAGATAAATACACATCAAAATGCAGAACTGCTGTCACCCCAGAAACTTCCCTTGTGTAACTTCCCAGTCAACGCCCCACCCCCACCTCTAGCACCATAAGGAACAACACTGTTCTGTTAGGTTAGCTTAGCCTGTTCTAGAACTCAGTTACACAGTATGTACTTTTTGTGTGTTTGTCTTCTTTCTGTCAGCATAATGGGATTATGTTGTGTTTATCAGAAGTATGTTTTATTGTTGAGTTGTATTTCCTTGTATGAGTATTCCACAGTTTGATTGATTTTTCTGCTGTTATTGGATATCTGCAGTATATGCAGTTTGGGATTACAACGGACAAATCTTCTATGAACATCTGTGTACAGATCTTTGTGTACACATATGTTTTTATTTCACCTAGAATAAATAGGAGTGGAATGGTTAGGTCATATCATAGCTGTGACTCTTACTTTTTAAAAAACTGTCAAACAGTTTTCGATAGTGTTTGTAGCATTTCACAGCCCCACCAGCAGTGTGGGGGGTTCTAGGTGTTCCATATCTTCAGTATTTGGTAGTGTCAATCTTTGTCATTTTAGCCGCTCTACTAAATGGGTATTTCATTGTGATTTTAATATATCTTTTTCAGATGACTAATGATGTCGAGCCCTTTTTCTTGTGCTGATTGGCCATTGTATATCTTCTTTGTGAGGTGTCTAAGTCTTTGACCCATTTTAAAATTAGGTTGTCTATCTTTTTATTATTGGATATAAGTCCTTTGACAGATATATGCAAGTTGATCTTAGTTTGGGGTTCTTTAATGAACCTTGATATTTTAATATACAGTTTTACAGAACATAAGGTTTTTACAGCAACATGTAGATAGTATTATAAAAGTCCCATACTCTATAAATGTCAACCATCATTGATAACTAACATGATTACAGCTCTAATAATTTTAAAATTTTCATTTTCAACAGCCAGTTAATTGTGGGTCCTTTGCCTGGAACCTCATTGCATAGTCATTTAGAAAGTTGTTTTATCTCAGCTTTCCTCAGAGGCAGTGTATCCAAGACACCTGGTCCCTTCCTGCGTGGCAGATGGCAACAGCAGGAGATACAGTGGCCATTGTTTTACTTCCTTCTATATAAAGCATAAATTTGTTCTAGAGACAGAACAGGTCCAACTCCAAACATGTAAAGCAGAATGCAAAGGTGAATGCAAATTGTGGTCATCAGCCAGCTTGTTTTGCCATGTGGAAAATATGGAAATAGTTGCCACACATTGCACAAAACATCTGTTGAAATAAGGCGTTCAATTTGAATGCTTCAAGATACACCGTTTCTAAAACCCAAGATTGCCTGGTGAGCAAGCAGATGGGCAATTTAGACAATCTTATACTAACTCATCATTGCTTCTGAAATACAGCTTCACTGGCAATTCTAAGACAGTATTCTGAATTTGTATTGTGGAGTTACACGACCTTCAGAAACATGATGGGCACTTCTTATAGCTTTGGTTGCTATTGTTTAGATGTAGGTCAGAGGGAAGACAGGGCCTTCTTTCTTAATACAGTTAAGAGAGAATATTTTTAAAAACTTCATCTTTATCAGAGTCGTAAGTATTAATAAGAAATAAATTTTTAATTACTTTAATAGGTTAGAAATACTTCCCTCCCCTGCCCCAGACAGAGTCTTGCTCTGTCAATTCAGAGCTGCAGTGCAATGGTGCAGTCTCGGCTCACTGCACCTCCACCTTCCAAGTTCAAGCAATTCTCCTGCCTCAGCCTCCAGAGTAGCGGGGATTATAGGCATACACTACCACGCCTGGCTAACTTTTTTGTATTTTTAGTAGAGACGGGGTTTTACCCTGTTGGCCAGACTGATCTCGAACTCCTGACCTCATGATCCACCTGCCTTGGCCTCCCAAAGTGCTGGATTATAGGTGTGAGCCATGCCTAGCCTAAAAATACTTATTTAAAAATAAGTTTTTCTTCCTATGTGAGGGAGATGTTTAAAAACAAACATCTGTTTTGCTTTTACTTGGCCTAGTAACACTATGTCAAGCTTGATTGAGAAATAAGTTATTTTTACCAAAAAAAAGTCCTATAAAATAAAAAATTTACATAGGTAATTTTCTATATAATTGAAGCTTTTAGAGCCTTTTTTCCTGAAAATTTTTTAAAAATTAGATTATGTACTTCTTTTCATTAGCATTATGCTCATGACTCAGAATTTCTTCAGGCTATTTAGATATAAAGCTGTTGGTTTATAAAATGAGAAGCACCAGATTTCTATGTGTTTTGGATACCAGAGTATCTGCTGTTAATAATTTTCCTGGCTGTTAGTGATTAAAAAAAAATAGCGGTAGCTATTAATATGCTTCCATCTAGCAGAGCTCCTTATTCTCGTTTAAGTTTTGCTTTTAATCTTCTGTGGGCTGAGAAAACATCAAACTGGTGAGAATTATGTATATATCCAGAGCCCATTGCCTGAGTTAAGGTGTGAGATTTGCCACGTGAATAAAGGGCATGAATATCAGTATCTATTCTAGTTGTCCAAGAGATTTGGATTTATTTTCTGGTTTTGGTTGTGTTTCAGAGTGTAGGATTTGTCAAATAAATAATATGCTATATGTACATCAAAAAGCTAGTTAAATATTAGGTACTTTTCCCCCACTTCCATTATTCCAGGCATGAGATCTTTGGAAGTTACTAGGAAGCAGATTTTACTTAAGCAGAAAAATAAATATTTTTAGTTTCACCGAATGATGCCCTGAATTAAGCTCTGTTCCATGAGCCTAATCTCAGCTCCATGACTTACCAGTTACCTTTTCAATCCCCTGCACATTAGTGTTCTCGTGATCTGAGATCTACTTGTAGAGTTCTGGGATCCTCAGGCTGTAATTTGAGGGCTCAAGCAGAGGCTTAATAGAGAATTTCTTTTTTTATTATTTTTTATTGTACTTTAGGTTCTGGGGAGCATATGTAGATCATATAGGATTGTTGCCTAGGTACATACATGGCAAGATGGTTTGCTGCCTCCATCCCCCCATCACCTATACCTGGCATTTCCTCCCACATTATCTCTCCCCAACCCCTGCTTTCCCTCTCCTAGCCTCCCCAACAGACCCCAGTGTGTAATGCTCCCCTCCCTGTGTCCACATGTTCTCATTGTTCAACACTCGCCTATGAGTGAGAACATGTGGAGAGAGGATTTCTTTATCAGTAGGAGGTCAGACTGAATGACCTCTAAGATGTATTCTTTTTGTTTGTTTGTTTTTGAAAGGGAGTCTCACTCTGTTGCCTAGGCTGCAGTGCAACAGCACAATATCGGCTCACTGCAACCTCCACCTCCCAGGTTCAAGTGATTGTCCTGCCTCAACCTCCTGAGTAGCTGGGATTACAGGTGCATACCCCCACACCCAGCTAATTTTCATATATATTTATATATATATATATATACTTTTTTAGTAGAGATGGGGTTTTACCATGTTGGCCAGGCTAGTCTCAAACTATTGGCCTGAAATGATCGGCCCACCTTGGCCTGTCAAAGAGTTGGGATTACAGGCGTGAGCCACTGCACCCGGCCTAAAGTGTATTCTTATTTTAAGATTAGATAATTCTGTGACTCACTTCTAGAAGACAGTTCACTTGTATCTATCAAAGTAAAATTTAAATACCCAAGGGAGATAATGGCTTATCTGTTCTAGCCTGCTTTTCCATTTTTCCCAAGTCATAAGTTGAGAGTGTCTTGGAAGTCATTATTTTCCCAGGACCCAAATTTAAAGCCATTAAAAGTTTATGAAGCAATGAAATGAATTAAGGAAGACAAGTTTAAATATGATCATATTGGATGTGGTGGCTCATGCCTGTAATCCCAGCACTGTGGGAGGCTGGGGCTGGTGGATCACCTGAACTCAGGAGTTTGAGACCAGTCTGAACATGGTGAAACCTGCCTCTACAAAAAGTACCAAAATTAGCTTGGTGTCATGGTGTGTGCCTGTAATCGCAGCTACTTGGGAGGCTAAGGCAGGAAGGTGGCTTTAGCCCAGGAGGCGGAGGTTGCAGGGAGGTGAGATCATGCCACTGCACTCTCATCTGGACAACAGAGCCAGACCTTGTCTCAAAAAAAAAAAAAAAATTATAAAAGTGATCATATTGAGCTGGTTATAAATTCTCTTTGTAGCAACAGTTGAGCCACTTCGAAAGAAGTTAATTGAAGGGGACCACCATGGCTTGCTGTTTCAGGTAAAATGTCTGTGATACGTGTTCACTTACTGTGGAGGAAATTGTTCAGTTCATGTAAGGTTTTGAAGCTAATGTATAATATACAATGACTTCAATCATTAAGTTAAATAACCCATTTAGAAGAAAATGTTTTGGTGGACTTTGTTCTCTTATGTGCTTAAAGCATTTAGCAGAACAAGAAAGGAGATCTTACATTAGTGAGTGACTACTGAAAATCCCTTCTAAAGAGGAAGTGTTTCAGAATTTTCTTTGCCCACCACTATGTATATCTATTAGTAACAAGGCAGTTTTTTCAGTCTTGGGCTCCTCGTTTCTGATAGTAAGAGCATATTATTCAATTTACAATATGTTGAAATTTTGAGTATTCTTGAATAGGTTTGATGGTTACTGTCTCTTTTTTCTTTCTCATATTTGAATTAAACTTTCTGTTTCTCTCTGTATGGGTCATCTCAAGATATCTCTGGTAGCGTTAAGTGTATTTCTTTCCCTTATGATACTTGGTGAACCTACTTTTTGTTCAGAAATGAAGAACATAAGGGAACAGCAAGGTTGGCACTAGAGGAAGATGATGGAGGAGGAAAGAAAGAAGGGAGGTATTTGCATGTATCTGTTTCCAGGACATCATGCAGACACATCTGTTAAAGCAGGAAAAAAAAAATCATGTGGAAGATTAAGCTAGGCAGAATGCATAAAAAGTCCTCTGCAGTAAGTTGAGCTAGAAAAACCTCCATATCTAAAGATGCTTTAATCATCTCAAGAACACCAACAACATTTTCTATTACAATATAAATACGATAGATGCGAATCTACATCTTGGATTAAGGCCATAATTTTATAGCTATAAAATGTTCACAGACACCATTTTCATTACTCTGAGTTACATCTCTAACAAACTTCTTTAGCCTCTGCCTAAAGATATCAATGACAAGCCATTCAGTTTCTTATTCCTGAACTTCAGATTTCATTCCTAGGTCAAGTAATGGGGAAAATACAATGGGAGGTTTACAATTACAAAGGTGTTCCCTTGGAGTAGAATACAAGATAAAGAACCTGTCAGTTTCACCCACTTTAGGCCATGTCCTATCTTCTGTTAAGTCTAATGTATTTGGGATCTTTGACCTTTTCATCATTCTGTCTTTGAATATACTCTACCATTTTCTCTTGACAGAGCTTTTTAGATGAGGAATTTCCTCACTGTGATTCCCTCTCCTGCAAAAATGCAATTCAACAGCCTCTTCAAGAAAAATTGGTAATTGCAAGTTTTTTGAGATTATTTAGGTAATAATTGTGAATCAATAACTATCTTGTACTAAAAAGTTAAGTCCAGTATGTATTAGGAGCCTTCAAACTGTAACCTATATTGCTTTTATCAAGAGATTATCAAATGAGGCCACAGATAACTATTTTCGTAAATGTACACATACACATACGCAAACCTGGTTGGTCCTTTGTTGCCCAGCCTGGAGTGCAGTGGCATGATCTCGACTCACTGCAACCTCCGCCTCCTGGGTTCAAGAGCTTCTCCTGCCTCAGCCTCCCAAGTAGCTGGGATTAGTCAGGTGCCACCACACCTGGCTAATTTTTGTATTTTTAGTGGATATAAGGTTTCCCCATGTTGGCCAGGGTGGTGACCCCAAGTGGTCCACTCACCTTGGCCTCCCAAAGTGCTGGAATTACAGGTGCGAGCCACCGGGCCTGGCCTGTTCTATGTTTTTTACTTGCAGTATCACAAAGAATTATGTAACAAAGTTTATTTCTCTATACCTCTTTCCTCAAAACCTTTGTTAGCATTCTGCTAGATTATTACGTTGTGATTTTAAAATAAGAATAATTTACTCATATATATATCTTTTGATCAAATACTTGAAAGATTTTTTACTTGACATTTATTTTCTTCTTGATCTCTCTCACAGGCTCATTTGAGACTAGTGATATTCTTTCTACCTTTGAAAATGGTGGTAGTAGATTATGAAATATAATATGTTACATTCCTTTAGGTGGCTAATAATACTTGGTTTTCTGTTCAGAAGCAGTGCTTCCACAAACTATATGGTAGTCAAGAAGCAAGAATACATCAGACACCCCTGACCTTGAAACATACGTGCTGGTACACACCTCTGCTGGGTAAGCCCCTCTCTGATACCTGCTCAGACATAAGTAGGTGTAGAGTTTTTTTTGAAAAGAAAAATAAGTAGTTATTATTACATTTTGATAGGAAGAATTGTTGAACACTTGGATATTTATCCCTGAATTCAGTTAATATATATTTGAGTACCTACTCTATGCAAGGCACCATATTATGCATGATAAAGAATAAGTCCTTGCCAGGCATGGTGGCTCACGCCTGTAATCCAAGCACCTTGGGAGGCCACAGCGGGCGGATCACTTGAGCCCAGGAGTTCAAGACAAGCCTGGGCAACATAGTGAGACCTCATCTCAAAAAAAAAAAAAAAAAAAAAGTAAGTCCTAAAGTAGCTCACAGACTGGTAAGGAGACAAGACCTGGGCTCAGAGAAGTCAAAGGCGATTCCATAGAAAAGGTTCAAGTTGCACTGGCCTTGAAAGATTAGTTGGCTTTAGAAAAGTGAAAAGCATTGAAAACATATTCTAATGGGTGAGAGTAACATGAGCAAACAACACAAAAAATGAGAAGTAAGAATGCAGAAGCCTTAAGTGTTTGAAAAAGAGCCAAAGGCAGACAAGTCATTTTGAAAACAAAAGGATTCAGGTTGAGATACAGTAGAATAGACATTTGGAGAAGGAAAAGTGAGCTGTGGGGCAAATTTGTGGTTTATTACTCAATGCCAAGAGAAAGAGCTTTATTCTAGGAAATGGTCAAAGTAGTGACATCTCTCAGCACAAGATGGATGCAGTTAAAAGCCAAAATTAATGTCTAGTTCTGAAATGACAAAATAAATGATTATCAAAATAAATTTAAGAAGGAATGAAGAGAAAAGTAGAGTGATTTGTGGATTATTTAAATTTGAGAAGAAAAAACTCCTACTATTACTAATGGAGCATCTATTTTGTGTCAGGCAATATAGATTAGTGCTTTTAGAGATTACTCACAATAACTCATTAACCACCACCAAGAGCGGGAGTACTTAAAGAGTGCTCGCTGGCTGGGTGCAGGATCTCACACCTGTAATTCCAGCACTTTGGGAAGCTGAGGTGGGCAGATCACTTGAGGCCAGGAGTTCGAGACCAGCCTGGCCAATATGATGAAACCTGTCTCTACTAAAAATTAGCCCGGCATGGTGGCACGTACCTACAGTCCCAGCTACTTGGGAAGCTGAGGCAGGAGAATCGCTTGGCCCCAGGAATTGGAGGTTGCAGTGAGCCATGACTGTACATTCCAGCCTGGGTGTTGCAGCAAGACTCCATCTCAAAAAAAAAAAAAAAAAGAAAGAAAGAAAGAGTGCTTGCTATGTGCCTGACACAGTTCTATGCTCTTAACATATCTATTAACTCATTTAATCCTCACTACATCCCTATGAGGTAGATGTTAATATAATTACCATTCAAGAGGTAAGGAAACAGAGGAACATTGAGTTAATAATTTGCCTAAGGTCATCTGTCACTTTGTACATAAGCAAACTGAGGCTCAGAGTGGCTTAGTTACTTACTGAGGTTCACGCAACTGGTATGTGGCAGAGCCAGGATCTGAACCAAAAATTTCTGATTGACTTTAAAGCCTATGTTTTTTCCTTTAAACTCTGCTGCTTCCTATACTCAGAAACACACATAACAAGATGGTTTTCCCTAATGAATGATTTGTGATCTCAGCCTACTTCCCCTACCACTCTTTGATGGGCTCTAATTATGATGTCTAATGCTTTTCTCTTCTGGAGGCTGCAAAATTGTTCTGTAAAAGGCCAGTTAGTAAATATGTTAGTTTCTGCTGTAACTACTCAACTTTCCTGTTATATCACACAAACAGCCATGGACAGCGTGTGAACAAATGGGTGCGGCCGTGTTGCAATAAAACTTGACTTTTTAATTTTTTGAGACAGGGTCTCACCTTGTCACTTTGTGGTGCAAACACAGCTCACTGCAGCCTCAACCTCTCAGACTCAAGTGATTCTCCTGCCTTATACCCCCAAGTAGCTGGGACTATAGGCACATGCCACCACATCCAGCTAATTTTTGTATTTTTTATAGAGATGGGGTCTTGCCATGTTGCCCAGGCTGGTCTGAAACTCCTGAGCTCAAGGGATCCACCTGCCTCGGCCTCCCAAAGTGCTGGGATTACAAGCATGAGTCACCACAATTGGCCACAGTCAAACTTTTCAAAATCAGGCAGCTGGCTGGATTTTTGCCTGCTGGCTATAGATTGTTAATCCCTCTAGTTGCTTATCGGCAGAGGTTTTCTGGCCTCTCCTATAGTTAAAAAAATTTTGAAATTATTATTTTTAATATTATTAGAACTAAAATTATTTTATATTTTATATATGTATTAATATTACTATCATTCCCAAACACTTTGTTACAATTAGACATTTGACATTTTCACCCCCTGTGACTAGGCTTCAAGGGAGTTTATGTTAAAATGTTAATAGAAGTGGGTTGACTTACTTTTTCAGATTGGTTCAGTCTCTCAAGAGAGAAAGACTCCATGCTTCAATATAGTTTGAACCAGAAATTGGTCTCTATTTTGATTTTTTTTCCGTTCTACTGCAGATGCTTTATCTCTGGATAGTTTTACAGCAGTTCCAACCCTGGAATCAACACCCTTCTCAGGTGTAGCCAACCAAATCCATGCTTTGTGTGAAAGGCCCACATATGGGGAAGTAAAGGATGGTGCTTTGGATGTGACAAGACAACACAAGTAGGTTGAGAGCAAATTTTACTTACTCTACTCCTCATGGGTGAGCTCTTCTCATTGTCTTACCTTTTAATTGGTTGGATTTTTATAACTTGAGATCACATCTTTATTGTGGAGCTTCTCTAACTTCCTGAAAATTTACAATTTCTTTTTTTTTTTTTTTTTTTTTTTTTTGATGTGGTATCTTGCTCTCTTGCTGAGACTGGAGTGTAGTGATGCAATCTCAGCTCACTGCAACCTTTGCCTCACAAGTTCAAGAAATTCTCATGCCTCAGCCTTCCAAGTAGCTAGGACTACAGATGCATACCATCATGACCAGCTAATTTTTGTATTTCTAGTAGAGATGGGGTTTCACCATGTTGGCCAGGCTGGTCTCTAACTCCTGGCCTCCAGTGATCCACCCTCCTTGGCCTCCCAGAGTGCTGGAATTACAGCACACCCAGCTGAAAATTTACAATTTTGAGATAAAGTTATTGATGTAGTTTTCTTGCTTTTCTTGAATTTCCCAATATCCACTCTATGCTTAAAAGACGAATTAGACTACCTAAGATGCTTCTAATTTTTAGGAATACACCATAGACTGCTAAGTTAATATGGGTAGGTTTTGATCATCATTCTCTTTCTTTCATACTCAAGGTTAACACATCTTTGGGAACCACTCCTTCTCCCTGCACGCTACCCTCTTCCTCTTTAAGTACATAGACTAATCTTCCGATCTAAAGGAAAAAGACACTCACCAATGGGGTGTTTTTTCCTGCTGTAGTCTCAACGCCACCCTTCCGATACCAGATGTATGGGGGTTTTTTTTCCCACACTCCAAGCAATTTTCCACACACCAATCACTTCTCCAGAAGACATGAAATGGGCGTCCAGTAATTCAGTTCAATTCCAACATTATCTGCCTACAAACAGCATCAGATTCCACAGGTTAAGGGCTCAGTCTCACAAGGTTGGCCCCTACTTTAGATGCCACTTACGAGTCCCAGACTGTGACCTGTGCTTCTGACCAACTCTCTATGAATTGGGGGTTCCTATGACCCCCTTCTTGGGTTCAAATAAGTTACTGCAGTAGCTCACAGAAATCAGGGAAACACTTCACTTACATTTACCCACTTACTACAAAGTCTATTTTATTTATTTTTTTGGAGGCAAGACCTCACTCTGTCACCCAGACTAGAGTACAATAGTGATTTGGGCTCACTACAGCCTCGACTTCCTGGGCTCAGGTGATTCTCTCACCTCAGCCTTTTGAGTAGCTGAGGCCACAGGTGCCCACCACCACACCCAGCTAATTTTGTTTTTTTTTTTGTTTTGTTTTGAGACAGAGTCTCACTCAGGTACCCAGGCGAGATTCGCAGTGGTTTGATCTCGGCTCACTGCAACTTCCGCCTCCTGGGTTCAAGTGATTCTTCTGTCTCAGCCTCCCAAGTAGCTGGGATTACAGGCACATGCTACCCCACCAGGCTGATTTTTGTATTTTTAATACAGGCAAGGTTTTGCCATGTTTAACAGGCTGATCTTGAACTCCTGACCTCAGGTGATCGGCCCACCGTAGCCTCCAAAGTGCTGGGGTTACAGGTGTGAGCCACCGCACCCAGTCTTGAATTTTTCGTAGAGACAAGGTTTTTCCATGTTGCCCAGGCTGGTCTTGAACTCCTGGACTTAAGTGATCCTCCCATCTCAGCCTCCCAACATGCTAAGATTACAGGCATGAGCCACTGTGCCAGGTGACAAAGTCTATTTTAAAAGATACAAATGAACAGCCAGATGAAGAGATATGTCAGAAAGGTTTGAAAATGTCACAAGCACAGGAGGGTCTGTCTTTGTGGAGTAAGGGTGTGTCATCCTCCCCGCACATGGCTATGTTTCGATTCACCAAATCAGAAGCTTTCCAAGCGTTGTCCTTTAGGGTTTTTATTGAGGCTTTACTAGACACAATTAATTAAATCATTGGCAATTGGTGATCGGCTCAGCCCCTCTCCCCTCCCAGGAGTTTGGCAGGGTGAAGTTGAAAGTTTCAGTCCTCTAACCACAGATTAGTTCCCCTGGCAACCAGCCCCTCATCCTAAGGCTATCCAGAAGCCCACCAAGAGATACCTCTTTAGAACAGAAGATGCTCCTACTACCTAGGAAATTTCAGGAGATTCAGGAGCTCTGCGTCAAACACACCTATCAGGAAATTAAAAAGGTCTTAGGCACTGTGTATCAGGAACCATGGTCAGAGACAAAAATATTAGAATAAAGATTCCCCTAGCACCTCTGTCTACAATGATTTTAGGAGTTCTGTCTCAGGAACTGGGGGCATAGAACACAATATCAATGACATCCTGCTAAGTTAACTTAAGCAGGTTTTGATCCTATTTCTGTTTCTTTCACATTCAAGGTTAACAAGGCTTTGGACCTATATCTGTCCCTGCCCCCATCCTCCTTTGGTGCTCATTTGCACCTGCCTTTTTAAGTATACAGACTCATCTCCCTTAGGAAACATTCAGAAATGTCAGTGCATTTTGTGAGGACGTAATCTACCTCAATAAAATTTCCCTTCCGTATTGAGGATGAGGAAGGATGGCTTTGAATTGCAAATGTTTCATTTTCATTTTTGGCTGGATTCTCTGTTATTTGTAACCTCTCTCTGATGGAGGTGGGAACTCTCTTTCATAATGTCTTACTTAAACCAAGAACTTAATTAGAAATTTGATGAAATCAGGACTGGGTGTAGGGAAGTGGGAACTATGTTATTGTTTAGTATCTGCTAAAATTTGCAGTTTTTTCGCCTGTAGTAATTAACTCTCCTTTCTACTGCCAGGTGCCCAGGCCCCACAAGTGGCCCCAACCAAGGAACAAATCTCTCGGGCTGCATCAGGATGAATGATGAGCCAAGTATGGAAGTGAGTATTGGACTGGATTTTAGTTTCATTTTCAGTATTACCATATCCTGCTCTTCTTCTATTGGTATTATTTTTCACTTTCTTTTTTTATTTTTTAAGTATTATGGATATTCTTATACCAAGTTTGAGTCTGCTATCCCAAAATTCAGATGTATAAGAAATAGCAACCTTTGATTGAAGTCAAGAAATTAAAAATTATTTAATTTGATGGCTTTCTACCCTGTGTTTTGTATATACTGTGGGTCATATAACCAAAAGGAGATTTTGATGAAGTGGGCTCAATTTTTGTTTGAGAGGCAGGCTGGTTTGGGACTTAAATTCACTAATGACTGTAAAAAGCCTCAGATCCTGTTGATTCTCCAAGTATTGGGGCCAAGTCTAGATAATCTTTGAGGAGCTGGTACCCTTTGTCAAAAAGACCACAAAGCTGGGCCATGCCCATGACTAGTCATGTACTAATTGGCAAATTTAGGTGTTAATGCCACTTTTCTGCCTAAGAAGAGAATAACACTAAATAACGTGAGAAGGTCACTTAGGTCATCATTGAGATATGGTTGGAATGCCTTTCTCAGTCTGCAGCGTGAGGCTGGTGATCTTCTCAATCAAATGGAGCAGGTAGTTCTGTTTCAGTCCATCATTCTTCTTGCTTTTACTTTTTTTTTTTTTTTTTTTTTTGAGATGAAGTCTTGCTCTTTTACCCAGGCTGGAGCACAGTGGTGCAATCTCAGCTCACTGCAACCTCTGCCTTCCGGGTTCAAGCGATTCTCCTGCCTCAGCCACCCTAGTACTGGGACTACAGTAGCACACTACCGTGCTCAGCTAATTTTTTATATATTTAGTAGAGATGGAGTTTCGCCGTGTTAGCCAGGATGGTCTCAATCTCCTGACCTCGTGATCCACCTGCCTTGGCCTCCCAAAGTGCTGGGATTACAGACATGAGCCACCACACCTGGACTCCTTTATATTTTAATTGAGATATAACTCACCCACCAGACAATTCACTAATTTATTCACTTAAATGACTTTCAGTGTATTCACAGAGTTGTACAACCATCACCACAATCGATTTTAGAATACTTTGATCACCCCAGAAATAAACTGCATACCCATTGGTAGTCACTCCCTATTTCCTCCTTTCTCAAACCTCGAGCTCTAGAAAACCACTAATCCACTTTCTGTCCTATAGATTTGCCTATTCTGGACATCTCACATAAATGGAATCATACAATATGTGGTCTCCTGTGCCTGGCTTCTTTCAGTTAGCATAAGGTTCTCAAGGTTCATCCATGTCATAGCATGATGTCAGTACTTCATTTTTATGGCTGAATAATATTCCACTGTGTAGATACACACCACATTTTGTTTCTCCATGCATCAGCAGATGGGTATTTGAGTTGTTTCTACTTTTCGGCTACCGCGAGTGACACTATTAAGAACATTCATGTATCGGTTTTTGTGTAAATATGTTTTTAATTCTTTTGAGTGTATTCCTGTGGCAGAACTACTGCATCAGATGGTAACTCTATGTTTAATGTTGTTGAGGAACTGCAGAACAGACTTCCAGGGTGGCTGTATCCTTTTACATTTCCAACAGCAATGTATGAGTATTCCAGTTTCTCTGTATCCTCACTAAATACTTGCCTATTTTTTATTAAAGCCATCTTTGTGGGTGCAAAGTGACACCTCATTGTATTTTTGATTTGCATTTCTCTAATAATTAATAATGTTGAACATCTTTTCATCTGTATATTGGCCATTTGTATAACTTCTTTGGAGGTGTGTCTACTCAGATCCTTAGCTCATTTTGAAGATGGGATTATATTTCTTTTTACTGTTGAATTGTACAAGTTGTTGTTATTCTTCTTGTTAAGTGTGTGTATGGCAGTTTTGTTGTTGTTGTTGTTCATAAATACATGTCTGGTTGAGTAGCTAAGGAAAAGAAAGAAAAAGGAAATAAATCTATTTTGCTCTTACCTAGAGGCCAAGGCAGGTGGATCCTTGAGTTCAACAGTTCAAGACCAGCCTGGACAACATGGTGAAACCCCTTCTCTACTAAATATACAAAAATTAACTGGGTGTGGTGGTAGGCACCTATAATCCCAGCTACTTGGGAGGCTGAGACAGGAGAATTGCCTGAGCCCAGGAAGTGGAGGTTGCAGTGAGCTGAGATTGTGCCACTATACTCCAGCCTGGGTGACAGAGCAAGATTTCATCTATAAAAATAAATATAAATTCAAAAAAAATTTTTAATATATTTTGCTCTTACCTAGCAGTTTTTATAAAGTTTTAGTAAAGGAAGTTGAACTTGGAAGCTTACAGGATGTTTGGTTATTAGTAATTTCCCGTTTATCTGGCACTGATTTTACTAAGAAGGAAGAAACAAATATCAGTTGTGTGCCAGGAACTTTGTACAAAACCGTTTCCACATGCCATGTGATTAACCTTCTCCACAATTCTCTGCTTTTTACAAAGGAGGCAACTGAATTTGAGGGAGCTAAATAACTTGCCCATAATCACTCAATTAGTAATAGCAAACCTGAGATTAAAATTCAGATTTGTCTAGCTTCAAAGGATGCCTTTTTCATGACCACTCTTATTACACTTAATTTAGACATTTTAATCATAATCATTTAGTGTTACCTTGAACGTGGTTTTTTGGCTAAGAAATGTACTGCCTTTTATATGTAAAAGGACCTCCAAATTGAGTAGGATATGTGACTGAGTGGTTTTGCCTGTGGTCTTGAGACTCAGTAAGAAATAAGAGCTGGGCCCGGCGCTGTAGCTCACGCCTGTATCCCAGCACTTTGGGAGGCTGAGGTGGGTGGATCACCTGAGGTCAGGAGTTTGAGACCACCCTGGCCAATATAGCGAAACCCTGTCTCTACTAAAAATACAAAAATTAGCCAGGCATGGTGGCAGGCACCAGTAATCCCAGCTCCTCGAGAGGCTGAGGCAGGAGAATCGCTTGAACCCAGGAGGTGGAGGTTGCAGTGAGCAGAGATTGTGCCATTGCACTCCAGCCTGGGTGACAAAAGCAAAATTCCATCTCAAAAAAAAAAAAAAAATAGGAGCTAACATCATAATTGAGGCTCCAATCACATGCTCCTGTAGGTTTCCTGAAGGTTTTCTTGCTGTATTCTGTGCTGTTTCTTCTGTAGTTTGCAACAGCCCTGGAATTAGTCTGTTGGCTGTACCTTGTGACTGAAACCACCAATTCTCAACCTTCCCATTCCCGGTTTCTGCTCCACTGGAGCATTTCGACAGCCTGGTAACTGTACTCTCTGCCTCTGCCCCTTGTCTTTTGAGAAACTCCCCTCCTCCCATCATTTTATACTCACATCATCTCTTAAGAAAATAGAAAGCTCTCCTTAGAAAACGCTTTTCTAAGCATTCTCATTGGCAAAAAGTACAGGGAATTAGAGTAAATATAAGATATAAATCCCAATGGACCCCCCAAATGATGGTGTTTTCTTAGTTCCTCAGCTCTAAATGATGGATTCTGTCAATCTCTACAGCCTCATTACAGCTTCCCCTGGTATTTGAGTCTCTCTCTAAACTGGTTGCAATCTATCTTTTTAACCTTTATTTTCCCATCATTGCGTATGGTTATGCTGTTCCTCAGCCAAATCAGGTGGCTCGTATTGTCAGAATATATCACACAAACCTGTTTGTGCTGTTTTCTTTGCCCAGAACAATATACACTTTTCCATTTGTCAAAATTCTATTCAGCTGTCAAGGTCCATTTCAAAATCCTATAAAAACTTTTTTGTGGTAGCATAAAATGTTGACATCCAAGCATATCTAGTCCTTCCTGAGGTGGAAATCATAATGAATTAAGAGTGGGGAGATGAGGTTTTTCTGTGGGTTGGCCTCTGTGTGACTCTGGAAAAGTCATGTTTTCAGGCCTGTTTCCTTGTTTCTCAACAATCCCACTTAGAAAAAAACTAAGCAGATTCCTGTCTTTGAGACCCTCGTAACTCTCTGCATCCCCCATTTCTTGTCACCTGTATGCTGGTTTGCATTGTAGTTACTTATTTTCTTATATTTATTTGTGTATTAGGTGATAAAATGGCTGGACAGTGCCCTTATTTGGCCATGCACGTGTATCACCCTGCATAGGATTGCATACGGTAGCTGCCATTAATATTTGTTGAATGCCTATTTATTTAGGTTGTACTCACTACAAGGTCTGTTTGAAACACTGAGAGTGAGCACTCAACTACTGCTTTCTGACTCACTTCTTTAGACTGGTGCTCCTAAGAACTTGAGATTTACTTTCTGTTCCTTCCCCATAATCACAGAGAGAGCTATCTTCTAATATCTTTCCGGAAGGCACAATGCAAGATAAAAGTGAACATCATTATTCATAAGCAAGTTTTTGAGAGAGCAGGGAATGCTAACAAGATTAAATGTCTCAAAAAAAAACCATCTCATAGTAAAATAATTTGGAGCCCTGTTTGGGACATTCTTGAGGAAAAAAGAACTTCTTTATTGACCCAATAAATTAGTTTATTTGGGATATTTGGGTGTAGTTAGGAAAGAAGGAAACAAATTATTTTCAGTCCTTATCTTTTGGAGATTCACTGTGAAGTATTTATTGACAAAAATGTTATGATGTCTGGCATTTGCTTCAAAACAAGGCAGGTGTAGGTTGAGAGGGGGAGAGTTTGAAACAAGATTGGCCATAGGTTGGTAATTGTTGAATCTGTGTGATGGATATACCAGGATTCATTAGATACTTAATTCTGTCTACTTTTGTATTTATCTGAAATTTTTCTTAGTAATGGCCTAGAATCTTTACCCACATAGCATAGGCTGTAGAACGAAGCACACCTAGATTCAAGACTGACTTTATTACTTAGGTGCGTGAATTCGGACACATGGCCTAACCTGTCTGAATTTGCTGTGTCCCCTGTGAAAGAAAGATATTGATTATCATAGTTCTTTTGAGGATTCAAATAAACACACACAAATATATTGCATGTATACATTTCCATAGA